TATATTACTTGTGTGGTGTAGAAGATAATTATTTAAGAATGTAATTATGTAAGAATGTTAACATTCTGTTAATAATTCTTTAGTATATTACTTGTGTGGTGTAGAAGATAATTATTTATGTAGAGATACTGCTTGCAAACCAATGATGGTAAGATGATGTCATGGGGTAGGACTGGATAAGTCTGACTTCTTCCTACTCCGTTCAAGCATGTACTAGGTATAAGTAAATTGATATTGGATTAGCATTTGTTGGATATGTGTAAAATTATGTGTGTTGACATATCAACTGTCTTTACATGCTTGAAAGAAAGAATAAAATCAAAATCAAATCAAATCAAATCAAAATCAGGTCATAATAAATTTGTATAAAATTGATGTGAGCATTAAAAATTTCACCTCAAAAGAAATGTGTTATATTGTAGGCAGACTTTTTTCCAAGCAGAGGAAAAACATTATTCTTTTAGTTTGGAGAACTAATTTGAAAAGGTTATTCACTTGCCTGGGAGTATTTTAAAAGCGGTTGTGCAAAGACATTACATTGTTGACTACACTGAGCAGCTTTGTGTGCCTTTCTCAGCAAACACTGAGTTTGTCCTTGTTGAGAATTAATGTTTCCAAATAGTGCTGCACCTTTGTCAGAGTCAGGTAAAGGTGACTGTCCGGGAATAAATCGTCACTGGTCTTGGCTGAGGATCTTGAGGATCTGGGCTGAATGGGACAGTCCATTGTCAGAGCAAGCGAGCGTACCCTTCCCTCCAAGCTGGAGACATCAGCCTGGATCTGGCTGAGGAGCTCAGTGACAGGGCTCAGCAATTCATTATCCAAAAGTCCAAGGTCATGGCTGATGTTAGTTAGTCCCTCAATGGAGGGAGTAGTGATGTATATCTGTGGAGCCACAGGCATCTAAGGAAAGGAAAAAGGATGTGATCTGTACATCAATGTGTTGCTTACTCTGGCAGGAAAGATTTAATCCTGAATGATGTTTATTAGAAATTTTAGGCTAAAGTTAAACTTGATTTTGCATGACAGACAATAACAATGATAAAAAGTAAAACTCTAATCTTTTCTTAGAATAGGTCAGAAACACACCTTGTGCTTTACTTAAAACATACTGATTAGAGTGTGCTCATATTAAGCAACGTGCATACCTTTGTCCATAGTTTCTGAATGTGGACCAGGGTTATCCGAGCAATGTTTATTATGTTGTGTATGGCATTTGTAATGGAGTCTCCCTTTGCAGAAAGATGTGAGTGCCCAGGAGAAATGACAAGAGAGACAGAAAAAAGGACCAGAAGGATGCGCATGCTACAATGGAAAAAGAGAAGTACATTATTTATGTAAATAACAAAGATCACTGACTTTTAAATTGTTTTTTTTAACAGAAAATATCATGTGACAGTCTTACCTGTGTTTTATGACTTGTGCCGATGTTCCTGTAACACTGAATGACCGAGATGACACATGCTTCTTTGCAGGTTTCCACCATTTAAATAGTCTCTTCTGAACTCAAGTCTCATCTTTGCTTATTCCCCTCTCCTCCCCTCTCCTGGACTAACACCAGTCTGACCCTTACAGTTTAACTTCTCAGCATGCTCTGATTATTCAGGAAGATAGCTAGACCACATTCTTCTGACTCAATCTCTTGGAACCCATCCTATGTTCTTTAGACTTCTGATTTCCTAAAGATACCAGTTGATGCATGCACATCTGCTGATGTACAGTCATGGCCAAAATACCTGCACTCCTGCATTTTTGTCATAATGCACCACTTCTCCCAGAAAATTGTTACAATCACAAAATTGTTTGCTCATGTTTGTATTGGAACAACACAAAAAAGCCAAATCTGATACATTCCACATAGAACTCCAAAAATGGGCTGGACAGATTTATTGACACCTTCAGCTTTATATTTGGTAGCACATCTTCTAGATAAAATAGGTGAAATCAGTCTCTTCCTGTAACCATTGGTGAGTTTCTTACACCTCTCTGCTGGAATTCTGGACCACTCTTTTTTTGCAAACTGCTCCAGGTCTCACAGGTGCTTTATGGGATTTAGATCTGGACTCATTGCCGGCCACTTTAGAACTGTCAGGCACATTATCTGAAGGCATTTCTGGTGCTTTTTGAAGTCTGCTTTGGATCATTGACTTGCTGTAAGACCCATGACCTCTGACAGAGACCCAGCTTTCTGACACTGTTTGACTGTAGGGGCCGTGTTCTTTTCTTTGAAAGTTTCATTTCGTTTTCTGAAAACAGAATGATGTGCTTGACCAAAAAGCTCTGTGTTCTCCCAGAAGGACTGTGGCTTCCTCAGGTTAATTTTGGCAAACTTCAATCCCGTTGCACCCTGTGCCTGCAGGTCAGCTTCAATTTGTCTTGAAGTTGAGTGAGGTTCTTTATCCACCATTTGAACATTCCTTCAATGCAACCTGTCATCTATTTTTCTCTTTCATCCACGTCCAGGGAGATCAGCTACAGCACCATGAGCTGTAAACTTCTTGACAGTGTTGTACACAGTGGACACAGGAACAGCCACATCTTTGGAGATGGACTTGGAGCATTTAGACGTTCCATGCTTTTCCACTATTGTGGTTCTCATATCCCCAGACAGTTCTTTGCTCTTCTTTCTTTTCTCCATGCTCAGTGTGGTCCACACTACACAAAGGCTGAGTCAAAGTTTTTCCATTTTAACCGGTTCCAAGTGTGATTTCTATACTGCCAGCACGTGCTGGTTGCTACAGGTGAGTTTCATTACAAATTAAAGGAGAATCACATGGTTGACATACAACTATTTCTGATGATTTTGAAAAGGTGTCAATAATTCTGTCCAGGTCATTTTTGGAGTTCTGTGTGGACTGGATCAAATGAATTTACCAAAGAATTTGTGATTGCAACAATTTCTGGGAAAAGTGGTGTGTTATCTGAGGGAAATGTGGGGGTGTCAGTATTTTTTGCCCTGACTGTAGGCCTGCTTTTCCTCAAGTCTACTGCAACTGGGGACATGTAGTGCAAACCCACATATACTCTACCCACGTGTTCAACCAAATAAATAAAACAAAGATAATAGTGAAACACATTAGGTCAAATATATTGCAATAGTGCATGAAAAACGGGAATTTGCCACTTTAAAATTCAAGTGACTCATCATCTTGTTGCCCATCTAACAGTCCACTGTGGGTATTCTTTGTATGTCTTTGAAAGTGTTGATGTTATCTTTGAGATGTGTGATATACTCATACATGGAGTGAAGAACTGTGAACTTGTTACTGGAATGTGGTGTCTGTGACGTTGTTGTTGAAGGCTTTTGCCTTTGCTCATTTGTGGTTTGTATGCAGAAGGTGTGGCAAACTTAACAGCAGTGGAAACGTAACATACTCAACATACTGGAAACAATACACATTAGTTTCAGATTTTGAGTTCTGTTTAAAGGCCTGATGCTCTAATGACAAAGCTTTTGACTGCATGTGTGCAATTATTATATGT